GTGTGTGTGTGTGTGTGTGTGTGTGTGTGTGTGTCTGTCCAGGTAGCCAGTTGTGTCTGTTATTTACTGCACATTTTAAAAGCTGCTTGATGGCACTTCCTGCCTACTCAAGTAATATTATCTCCCTTCTCAGGCCTTTGATGGGTTAAAGACTAGATAGTCATAGTTACTTGCCCCTTATGACTTAGCCAAGTCATTTCTAAATCAAGACTTAGACTCCTTAAGATAAAATAATTATTAAAACATTTAACATGTTTCTTGATTAATATTGTTTATGCTAGTAATAATTCTATTTTTTTATATTTAATATCTGTTCTAACTGTATATAGTTTATATTTGGGTTTGGAATGTTCTTATTTAGCCAGACGGGGCCGGAGACACCCTGCCAACCTCCTTGGTGGAATAGCCTTTGAGAGGCTTGAGAAGCTCTCTCTCTCTCTCTCTCTCTCTCTCTCTCTCTCTCTCTCTCTCTCTCTCTCTCTCTCTCTTTCCTGTCTGTCTCCTATCTCACCTGGATTCTGTATTTGGTTCCTGTTCTCCGTTCATGCAGAGGACTGTGATCTATGAATCCCCCCCAAATAAAGATCCCCCTGATTATACTCAATTCTGAGCTAGTGTGTGATTACTTTATTCACATTCTCCTTTGTGTGTGAGTGTGCATATATACAGTATTTTACACTTCTCTATTTACAGCTTCTCTGTTTAGTAATTTAGGTGCACATGTTTAATCAATTGCCATATACACACTTTCTTGTTTCTAAAGCTGTGTATGTCACTAAGCATGTTTACTCACTTTATAGAGTGTATTTCTCTTTTTCCTGAACAGTTACTTGGAATTGGTAATAAACAGTGAAGCAGCACACTCAGGAAACGGCTCCACTCACCCACTGTTTGTAAGCTGTTTCTTCACTTACGCCACCTCCTCCTCACGCCTTTAAACAGGTTGGAAGCTTTAGAGCTTTCTCATTGGTGAAACTGAGAGCATCGACAAAAGCCTCGATGACTGAGATGATTCCCTTCAACTGTAAACCTGCAGCCTCCCTTTTGGGTTCGAGCAGGATGGGAGGTGGTGGTTGAAACAGCCAGATAATAAGAGAAACATCACTGCAGCCATGTTAATGTCAAAAGCCACTTTCTGCAGAGGCTAGCCTTCTGAGACACCATCAAAAGATGTCTCCCACCAGCTCTTGCTCCAGTTTGGTAAATGAACAGTTGCTGGTTCTAAGCCATCAGCAGCTAGCACACAGTATAATCCTGAGGTCTGGGATTATAGCATCATTCCCATGCCTGGCTTGTGGGTGCATGCTGGAGATGGGATCCACGGCTTTGTGTGTGCTAGGCAAAGCAGTCTAACAGCTGACTGGCTCTATCTTGGTTTCTTTGAGTACATTTCCGAAAGCTTTGCCAATTTGAGAGTAGATTTTCAAGGACAAGAGAGAAATCTACCAAATAAGCTATGCACAGTGGTTATTTAATCATTTAGCATTAAAGTTACCAGGAAGGTGAAAAACTGCCCAGTGTAGTTTGATTTTATTATTATTATTGTTGTTGTTGTTATTATTATATTGCTCAAGTCAACTTAAGAATAATATCAGGGAGCTAGTGGGCTGTAGCTCAGCAACTGAACACTTGCTTAGCATATGCAAGATCCTGGACTGAATTCCTAGCTTTTTCCCTTCCGGCAAAAACCTTTACTCTGACCACTGAAAAGTGGGACTACTCACATGTCCTGCACCACGATGTACTGATGAGGGACGAGCCCATCAATGCCGTTGTGTCTGCCTTCCCACCAGTCCTCAGAGGCACGGTGATACAGCAGGAGGGACGCACCCTTCTTGAAGGACAGCTCTCGAGCAGACCGCCCGACATAGTCAAACTTGGCGATTGCTTCGATTGGCTCACACTCTACAGAAAAATGACAGAAAACGCAGAGGGACGGGGAAGTCAGGAAGGCAAGACACGTTCTCTGAGTGGGCAACATGAGGCTTTACAAACAGGCTGAATGGGGCAACCATCAAACGAGAGGCAATAAGAGACAACAGGAGAGAGAGACAGAGAGAGAGGGAGGGAGGGAGAGAGGGAGAGAGAGAGAAGGAGAGAGAGAGACCTCTAGCTGTCATCTGTTTCAGTTTTCCAGGCAAAGAAAAATTATACACTAGATCTTAATTTCCTCAACTCCTTATATGAGATACAATGACAGTATAATAAAAAGATTCTGACTTTGCAGGATGATATATAAGCCTCTCCTAGGTTGTAAGATTCTCCGCAGTTGTTCTAACCTTCCTTTGACATTGATGGAGCATCTCTGCAACATGTTAGTTGCATTTACAACAGCAGAAAACACGATTCCGGCAAGCAGGCTTTATTAGTTTTTTTTTTAAAAGATACACAAAATCAACATGATAAATGCTATTTAAATAAATTTATTCTCATGGACTCCTTTTGGGGGGGGGGATATGACATCTCAAAATCAACATTAAAGCTCAGGAAAACTTTCTTTCACTCCATAAAAATTTTAGATTTAATTATGAAACATTCTTACAGTAGATGACCCTCTACTCGAAGTGATAGATCAGATCCAAAAACTGTTTGCTGGGGATCAAGAGATGTTGGTGGGAGAGACTATGATAAATTTAAAAAGTTAGAGCTCAAAAGAGTGCAGATTGTACAGTACCATTTATACAAATGACATAATGGCAGAGATGCAGTCGACTAGTGGCTGCCATGGGCTGCGGTAGGTGAGGTGATGGAGGAAGTGGTTGTGGCTATAAAGGGGAGCACACGCTTCCTGTTAATGTAAACCTTCTTTCTGTTGCCTGTGATGTGGTCACATAAATTCGCACATGTGATAAACGACAGCACTAACTGAACCCCCACACACTGATGCAATACGAATATGGTCAATGACCTATGTTGACATCAGCTTTCCGGCTGTGGCATTTTATCACAGGTATGCATATAGGATATTACCAGTGGGGGAAACTGAGAGACGCATATCCATATCTCTCTGAGTTCTTTCTTACCACTGCAAACAAATCTGAAATCTTGGTGTGTGTAGGGAACCATTACACTTTGGGCTTAGGACTAGAATACAGCTCTGACTTGTGATTAAATATTAAGAGGAAAGGAGGACAAACCCCACTAACTTAAACCCCTATAAAGGGTGCTTTGTGATCTATCCTACTTCAGAAAGGTCCTCCATTCACAGCCTTTCTCCTCCTCTCCCACCAGCCCCTCATTCTTGTCCATGCTGCCCAACAGACAGGAGTGGCCGTCTAATGAAATATAATATAAAATAATAATTATATATAATATAAAAGGATAAGTGGAAATGAAATAAGGAGTGTATGCTTATAGAATACAAGCTTACAGGATCATCTGTGTAATGAATGCAAGGAGTGTATGTTTACAGAACATGCTTATAGGAACATCTGTGTAAGGAGTGATGGCTCATTTGCTAAAACCCGGGCATGCGTTAGTTTCAAAATATTCTAGAATATGCAGGCAATGTGGTGGAGGAAAGCCTTCCATCTCTCAACAGTCCAGGAAATAGCTATTTATTGTGATAACGAATCTACTCATTTGAAAGAGCTCATTCATCCCTGTGTTCGCCGCAGCGTCAGTTATACAATGTGAGAAATCTTGGGATAAAGAAAGCCAGGCTTCTCTCACTTGACAAATTCAAAATCTCTGGGACATATAAGGCAGAAGCAAGGACACCAATGAACACTGAAAACCTTCATGTCAAGGGCTTGGGTCAACTACAGCAAATCATCTCAAGACCATGTTTGAGGTGAATATTATATCACAATACTCATAACACTAGGCCTTGCATGGAAAAAGGTGTAAGAGCTTTCAGAACAACAATATAAGTCTTTTTTAGTAACTGGGTAAAACTTTTATATCAGATGTTCCTACTTAGGATTGATTGTGAAATGTTCCCATGGCCCATAGTTTTAATGGTTAGTCCATAATTGGGTATCACTGTTTTGGGACACTGTTCTTTCTTTAATGGAAGAGGTTTCTGGATATGGTGCCTGCCTGGCAGATATTGACGGGGCAGGGCTAGGGAGATAAAGGTAGTTGAAATTATAGTCAAATTCTCTGCTACCTGAAAACCAGAGTAACCAGATGCCTGTCACTCATGCTGCTGCCCTGTCTTCCCCACCACGATGGACCACATCTCCTGAACTATGAGCTAAAACAAACTTCTCCTTCCTCAAGTTGTAGAGAAAAGTAAACAGCTTATCACCTCAAGTCACGCCTTATTAAACCTACACAAGTGGGAGCACTATTAAATATTTAATAATGGAGAAGAGAGGACTTCCCATTTAAATGGAATAGCCCTTTGTTCTGAATTTCCAGAGAAAGCATCAATCCTGGTTGATCTGGGATGATGAGATATGAAAATCCATACTCCACTTTTCCCCAGAGGATGGAAACAAATCTGTTCACGGAGTGAAGACATGCTAATTTATTAAAAGTAACTTCACCACACAGGATTTGCCAACTCTTGTGTCAACATACCCTGATATTTATATTTTTAATTAAAAAATGAAAAGCTATCATCGGAGGACAGGATATATAATCTATGCACAGTGTGTCAAGGAGAAAGGAAAAGGGACTCAGTATGTCTCTTCTGTGCATGCAGTGCTACGATGTTAATGCTGGTCAAAAGCTACCGAGAACAACTTTGCATACACAAATAATTTCAGAATCACAACTGTGATCGTCACATCTTTTTATCATGACTTTTTCACATAACAGGATTATCAGCTTCACTAAATTTACTGAACCGTGGGGCAGGTTGTGCAAGAATGACCGCAAGTGTCAGAAGACCATTTTATTGGTGACCCTAGTGTATCAACAAGTAATTTTCAGCAATTTCATTATTTTGACTCTTTGTCCTCTCTTGGGAGCCATTTCACAGTCAAGTGCCAATCAATATGCTATTTACAGTCATCTTAGTCTGGGCATTGCATGGCAAATCAATCCCAGGGCATGGGGCGCCATGGCGCTTTCATACAGAGAGTCTTCTGGTCCTTTCAGGTCCTGTGGAGACTTCTCAGAATGCTGCTACTGCTGACATCAACACCAATAACAGCAAGGGTGTAACATGATTACTTAGTGCTTCTGCAAGGCTCTGCTAACCGGGCAAAGGGACTCAGCGGAGTGGCTGCCTGGACGATCTGGTGCTACTGACTCCAATGTTCCTGTTGGAAGTTTAGTGTGATGTAATAATGGCGCACCTTCTCTTGGGAACTTCATTATCCCTAATACGCGTCCTTCTAGATTTGTCATCTATCGCCCTTGCGGAGATGAGCTTTGTTCTGTGACAGCCTGTCTTGAAAACAGAACTTGGTCTCTGTAGTGATACCGTGACAGAGAAAAGAAAACACACTGTCTGGTGGTCAAAAAGGCCATTCATTTAGCTAAGATTCCAGTTAATTCAGCTATGGAACTTGGAAGGGTGTGGCTGTGGGTAATAACGTGTTCTTTGAGAGCAATGCTTTTCTTTCCTGCAAAAGTGGTGGCCGTGATCAAAATGAGATCTACACTGTTGCGTGTGCAACAAAGACTCTCTCTTGTAGTCAAGGGGCAGAAATTTGACAGGTGGCGTGAAGTGGAACTGGTAGGTGGGGAGAGAGGAGGAGGGGCTTTGCCTAAGCTTTTCCTCCACAATAGAAAGCAAAGGAACATTCAGAGGTCATCAGGGGGGAAAAAAAAGGAATGAACAGAGAGAGAAACAGGTAAACCTAGCAAGGAAAAGGATGGTATCAGAGGTAGGGGCTCAGAAATGTTCAGAAACATCTTAGAAATATGAGCTCTCACTAGAAAGAATGATCTTTAAGCCCAGAAAATGCCATTTCATCCCACTTTCAAAAGGAGCAAAGGTTTATGGCTCACTCCATGAGATGGACTCGAGTCTGACACTGCTCCAGTGGCCAAGGAGCCTGAAACTGGACAAGGGAAATGGACCTAAGGGCTAACCAAACACTACTGCTCTCCTGAAGGAATGGAGGAGCAAAATCGCTCATAATGGCATTCTGCTGCACCCACAGATCAGGGCTGTGCTCGGCCATTCTCAGAGAAGCTTCCTCCTGCAGGGGGTGAGAACAGAAACAGAGACCCAGAGATACTGCCAGATGATATCTGAGAAACCTTGGGGCACTCGTCCCTAAATGTGACGTCTCCATCAAATCCCTCTCCTCGGCACTTGTGAACCCTTCAGAAGCGGAAGTGGAAAGGGTGTAAGAGCTGGGGGGCGGGGATGGAGGACACTAGGAAATCAGTGTCATCTGGATACAACAGGGCGGACACACAGGAACTCACAGAGACTGTGGAAGCATGCACAGGTCCAGATCAGATGGGGTACCAGAGCCGAGAGAGGGGAAGTGGGCATAAGCCCCTTTCCTCACCCAGAACCTATCCCCTCCAATTGACAATTACAAGGGAAGAATTAGTTTTCCCCAAGAGTCTCACTGGGCATACAAACCACACTTAAGGGCAGGATTCATGCTTTGCAGTAGATAGCAAACACAAAATAAAACTTAGTGGGATTTTTGGAGGTTCCTTTTGTTTCCTATTGCTTTGTTTGGGCATTTTCACCTTGCTGGTTTTTTGTTTATATACTATGGTTTCCAATTTTATGTTTTTATGGGTTTTGTGTATGTGTTTCTCACACTTTGACTTTTTTTCTTTTATTTTGTCTTCTAATGAGACACACAAAGGCATAGAGTGGGAAGGTGGGGATGGGGAGGAGAGTGGGGAGGGGAAACCATGATCAGATACACTGTATGAAAAAATTCATTTCCAATAAAAAGGAGCACAATGAAAAAGTTTTTTCTTTCTCAGCAGATAATCAACGCAACACTAAAGGCCCTAGTTACTCTCCTGCAAAAACTCCAGCTTTTACAGTTACAGTCCTAAGCCATCAGTCGGGAGGGAGAATCAAAGGTCAGAATGAGAACCAGGGACGTGACTGGACATGTGAGCCATCGTGTGTAGATCTCTGTTGGTCTTCAAGGAAGTCAAGACTGGGATCTGCTTGACATGGGCAGCCTGGGTGTCCTCCTGCCCCACCAAAAGAGCTGTACTCTTCATGTCCTAATGAACCTTAGGGTGATATCCTGGAACCCCACTGTCTTGCAACTCTTTCTGCAGGCCATTACCATCTCCCTCACTGTACACCTCTGCCCCACCGTACTCAGGGAAGAACCGTCCCAAGGCTTTGGTACACACCATCTCTGAGACTTCCAAGTGTGCTGTGGTCCTTAGGCTGGTTTGGAAACTCATAACACCTGGGATGTGAAAACCTTCAAGCTAAAAATAGACATTGTATTATAGGCTGCTGTGCCTCTGGGAGGAATAGATGAAGGATTCATTGGAGAAGGCGATCTTCATGAGGTTCTAAGACACACATCAAAAAATCTACATGCACGCTAGAAAACAAGACCTAATAAGTGAGCGCTAATGGAAGGTTCGGAAAATGTGTCAGAATTATCAGACATATAACGTGAAATAGTGGAAAAATCCGATATTTAGGAGTAAAGATCCAGGAGCTTAAACAGAAAAAACACACACACACACAAAACAAAACAAAACCCCCAATGACCAAGCAGCAGATGTGTTAAGTACACCAGGTATACTGCAAAGGAATAAAGACAGAAGTAAGAATTCAGTGGGTGAAATGAGAATTGCACAGCTAGAGAAGCTCTCAGAAAACTCACATTATGTATTCAAGGACACGGTGGTAATGCCGACAATCCCAGCTCTCCAAAGCAGACTGGGAGGAGTTTGTTTATAGTAGGTCTATACCATACAGCAACACTTCGTTTCATTTCATTTTGCTTTGAGTTAGAGTTTCTCTATGTAGTCCTAGCTGTCCTGGAACTCGCTCTGTAGACCAGGCTGGCCTTGAACTCACAGAGATCCATCTACCTCTGCCTGTCGAGTTCTGGGATTAATAATGGCTTGCACCATCACTGCCTGGCAAGACCCTGTCTCAACAACAACAACAACAACAAAACAACAAGAAAAACCCCCAAAGACTGGTGGTTGAACATTTTTTTTCACATGAAGAAAAGTCATGGGCCCAACCTTAGCACCACAGAGAAAGTGTTAAAAATTAGGGCTAAGCACTCAACTGTAAAAGTCAGAAAAAGAAATGGTTTTTTAAAATAACATATCAGAGTTAATTTGGAGATACCAAACAAGTGGAAATATGCTCATGGGCTGAGCTATAAAGAGTGTAGAACAGCAGTTCTCTCTGTGTCAACATCTGTAAAACAAGTACAGCTGTGGCTCACCTCTCTGCAGGGTTTTAGATATTAAGCCCTTTTTAAGTGTTTGAAAAACAGAACCTAAAATTTAAGTAGAATGGGAAAGGATCAAGAGCAGTAAAAAGGACAAAGCCTGAGATCTTGCTCTGCTTTCTGTTCCGGTTAAATTAAAAGGTCTCACATGAAGACAGTAGGCCAGTGGGAAGGACAGAACACAGGAGGAGCCTTCACACATAGAAGGCACCTGGTTTATAATGCCGTGAAAGGCCAGCTGGCATGGGGACAGGTGTGACAGCTATATCTCCATGGGCAGGAAAAGTAAATGACCTCCATAAGAATAAGCACTATATGAAAAACCAATTTTTGAAGGAATTAAAAAAGAATACAAGACCATAGCGGACGTAGCAAATGGCTAACACCATTATCACCAAGGATGGGAAAATCAAAACCACAGTGAGTTACTCCTGATGCAGTGAGGAGGGCTCCCTGCTAAAGACAACAATGTCAAGGGGCTGGAGACGGGCGAACCCTCTGCGTTCATCCCATTGGTGGGTCTATGCAAATGGTACGGATGCTATGGAACATGAAATGGGAAGCAGGTCCTTAAAAATTAGAGCGATTATACGATCTAGAATTCAGATGCTCATCCTAAAGAACTGAAACTGGAATCCCAGAGGTCCCTGTAGCACTCATCACCAGAGGGCAGACGTGGAGACAGTTCCCAGAAGAAGACGGATGGATAAAGAGTGTGAAATGGACGCGCAGAGGATGCTGGGCAGGCTCTCTGAAGAAGAAAGTATTCCAACATGTGGCAACATGGGAGGACCTGAAGTAAGCAATAAGCTAGTCTACCACTTATACCAAGAGCCTAAAAGGGTTGAATTCATAGAGTCAAAGGGTATGGAGGTTGCTGAGGGCTGGGGAGAGGTGACACAGGGAGTCACCCTTCAGTAGGAACACAATTTCATCAGGCAAGGTGGACATGCCCTAGAGATCTGGTGTGCAGTGCCGGTCTATGGTCACAAGAACACTATGGTGTATTTAAACTCCATGAGGAGGGAGTCTGTTACTATGAAAGGCAAGGACGGATACGGGAGGACTGTCTTCATTCGCTCAGGGGTTAGAAGGATTTCTTAATGTTGACCCAGCATGAAAAACAAAACATAGAAAACTAATAAAACCCTCCTGCCTTCAAACAAGCACACAAAAAGATAAACTTCGGAGCAGAGAAGACATGTGGAAGGCACAGGACCAGTTTTGATATATAACATGAGAAAAAAAAGAATACCAAGCTGAACCACACTAAATCAGAGAAGCCTGGAAACTCTACTGTTCCAACAAAAAACAAAAGCTACCCACAGTAGCCCCAGCAGGGGACTTACCATCTTCACTGGTGTGGGGCTCGGTGCCGGTGTCCTGGTCCACTTCCTCCAGTGTACCATGCTCACTGTATGGGCTGTCGCTGTTGGGTAAAAATGCATATGAAACCAGAGTGTTGTTCTCTAAATGAGTAATTAAGACAGCAAGGAAAACACAAGACTCCTAGCGCAGAAACACGCCCGGATAATCCGACCACAGAATGCCAGAGCCTCCATTAGTTATCACCTGGCTCTGTGGATGCGCATGCGGACACGTACGTGTATGACAGGTATCGTAACAGTCAGCATCGACGTTGGGGAGCTCTAGAATAACCTAAGCGACCGGACTTGGGGCGAGCCTGTGAGGGACTCTCTGGTTAGGTGAGGACAGGGGGAAGACCCACCCTAAGAGTGGGGTCCTGGATGGCAGAAAAGGAGGATGGTAGTCCCTTTAAGACTTCCTGAGTGCTGATGTGTTCTGAGCAGCTGGCTCACACCTCTGCTGCCATGATGGACTACACCCCGGAACTGTGCCTCTACTGCTGTGATCGATGGACTGTAACCCGGAACTGCGCCTCTGCTGCTGTGATGGACTGTACCCCGGAACCGAACCTCTGCTGCCGTGATGGACTGTACCCCGGAACTGAGCCTCTGCTGCCGTGATGGACTGTACCCCGGAACTGAGCCTCTGCTGCTGTGATCGATGGACTACACCCCGGAACTGAGCCTCTGCTGCTGTGATCGATGGACTACACCCCTGAACTGAGCCTCTGTTGCTGTGATAGACTGTACCCCGGAACTAGCCTCTGCTGCCATGATGGACTGTACCCCAGAACTGTCCTCTGCTGCTGTGATGGACTGTACCCCACAACTGTCCTCTGTTGCTGTGATGGACTGTACCCCGGAACTGTCCTCTGCTGCCGTGATGGACTGTACCCCGGAACTGTCCTCTGCTGCTGTGATGGACTGTACCCTGGAACTGAGACTCTGCTGCCACGATCAACACCCCAGAATTTCAAGTTGCTTTTATCTGTATTTTACTACAGCAACAGGAAAAATAACTAAAACTTTTTTGTACGTATACATATGTGTATGCACATGTGTATGTACATGTGGGTGTGCATGTATTTGTGTGCATGTATGTATGTGAGTATACATGTGTATATGTGTACATGTACAGATGCATGCATATGTATATACATGCATGTGTGTATATATATGTGCGCACATGTGTATTTGTGCATGTGTAGGTGCATGTATGTGTGTGTGTAGGATGTATGTGTATATGTGTATGTGTATTGTATCTTTTACAATACTATTAAGACAGAAGTTTACTTACAGAAAACCAAAAGTATTACAAATAATTTCTACTTAAATAAATACAGATTAGTTGATTTCAGGTAGAATATGTTTGCTTATTGCTCAACAAACTGAGAAGTTTTTGCAAGTTCATCATTTTACCTACATATAAATTGAGAGTCCTTTGGCGTCTGTGAGGTGATTGTCACATCTTTTCTGTTACCACTTCACATGCAATTATTTCATTTCTGCATGAGAAGCACGACGTTTGCTATCCTGCTTTGCAACTTTAACATCGCTACCACTATTTGCCTTCCGGTGTTTGCTAATAAAAGGTACTGACCACGAATACCAGCCCAGTGTTACTCTAAAACCTCCTTTACAGTACTGGGGACAGGGGAAACTGCTATATTCCTGATTTTGTGTTTAGAAAGAGTGGCACTGGACTGGGGAGATGGTCTAGTGGGTAAAAGTGCTTGCCGCCTAAGCATGAGGACCTGGGTTTGAATCCCCAGCACCCACCAAGGCCGTGTGTTCCTGCAGCCCAGTGCCAGGAGGCCAGATGGGGCTGACCACCATCCTAGCTCCAGGTCAGAGAGACCTGTTTCAGGAGTGAGGTGGAGCGTGATAGAATAAGACACCTGAGATCCTTCTCACACACCTGTATAACACGCACACAGGTTCCCATGGAAACACTGTGTAACACACACCTGTATAACACGCACACAGGCTCCCATGGAAACACTGTAAACAGAACGTTCTCTAGTCCATGCTACCGGCTACAAGGCCATTTCAAAGGCCCTTTTGGCAAAAGCAGCAGCAACCACGCTCTGGATCCAGTCCACACACACTGGGTATCCCCACACCTTGTTTTTTTTGACACAACAGAGAAGGCGGCAGCAGATCGTACTTACAACAGCCCCACACTTGGGGGAGTGCCGAGCATAGCTCCCACCCTGGCCTCAAAGTAAATAAGACTGAAAATGAAGCTATGTGTCTCGGCATGATTGGATTCGTTCACTTACTTTCCCAGAGGAAGACTTTAGTTGGCACCTGTCATACACATGCCCGTCAATATTGCTGAGTTGAATTTTGTGTGTAACATTGCCGCTACAGCACAGAACGGGAATACAGCATGCTTGGCTCTAATTATGAAAGCAGTACTTCTGGAAATAGCGACACTCAATTTTCTTTTTTTTTTTTTTTTTTTG